AATCTAGAGTAGTATATAATTTCCCTGCAATGTTAATACTCACAGAAACAACCAGAAATATCTAATATATATTAGTATAAAAATAATAAAATCTTAACAATAATATTTTGTTATCATCTAAAATCACAATCTCAATCTTGATTACTTATTTGCAACAATCTCTCTCTTTTTTATGATAATAAAAATAATTATTGTTTGAATAAAAATTAAAATTCTTTTCTCCTTAACTCCCCCTTGTTGACCTCATTTTTGTATGAGGTCACTAAGATCCTTCCAGAATCCAGATCCAATCCTAGACTTTAAGATCCACTCTAGACTTTAGGATCCTTTCATAGAGCCTAGACTTTAAGATCCACTCTAGACTTTAGGATCCTTTCCTAGAGCCTAGACTTTAAGATCCACTCTAGACTTTAGGATCCCTTCCTAGATCCTAGACCCTAGGATATACTCTAGACTTTAGGATCCTTCCTAGAGCCAGACCTTAGGATCCTTCTAGATCCAAGACCTTAGGTCCTACTCTAGAGCTTAGGATTCTTCCATATCCAAATCCTAGAACCCTTCTAGATCTTAGGTCTTAGAAATCCCTCTAGATCCTCTTCGACACGCACTCATTCCATTGGGTGGACTATGGTATTGATGTGGAGGAGGGACAGTTGCAGCTTTTATGAGCTAAACAGCAGTAGGTGTATAGCAGCTTTAAACAGAGGTTAAATTGAAGTAATAAAGCTAAAAAGATGAGCTCTAGGCGGTGGTATATGGGAAAGGATTTAGAGGTTTTTTAGTAGGGTTTTTGGACCGTGGGGAAGGGGTTTTTATATAGTGTCTTTGACTCCTTACCAGTTCAACTGGTCAATGAGCGGCCTGAGACTAGTGGCATAGGATGGGTGTCAAAGATTGCAGTGTTGGATTTGAACCTGGAGAGGCTTGCTTGATGATTGGCATTTAAGATTAACAGGCAAGCAAAGGTCTTGAAGTAGGCACTTTGACCAAAGTTACAAGTGTTGGACTTGGTCCATAAACCTTCACATCCATGAAAAACATGACCCATGACTGCGATTACATGTTGCATTTGGCAAGAGTTCAATGAAATTAAAGAACATTTGATATGAAAGCTTCAGATAGGGAAATATGATCAAATTGCTCTAGTGATGGTTTGATCTAAAGCGACACAAGTAATTGACCCAAGAGAGTCAGAAAAATGTGACTTAGGCAGAATGATTGGATTGATTTACCAATTGCGTTAAGAGAAGGTGATGATATGCCATAATATGAATATGATGTTGATTTGAAGCTGAAAAAGGGACGAATAGGAGTTGTATGTTAATAATGACAACATTTAAGTCTTAGGGAAACTTGGGGATCAAACCTATGTTGACTGTGGTCAACCAGGGTTGACACAAAGGGTTGTCGTGGAATGAGCATGTTTGATTTTGATATTATGAGAAGCACACATTTAAGTTGTATAAAGGTTACCCTAGATCTGGGGAACGTCAATTCAGTCAAAATGATAGTGACTAATTTAAACCATTAAGGGTCTGCTGTGGGTCATACCCTGTTGACTTGGGTCAAACTAGCGCTTTGACTCAAGGAGGCTGTAGAATGGTTGTTCAACAGGTTTGAAATGACATTGAAACTTCCGCGCCAATTGATTATGCATCAGATTTGGATGCTCATTTGCGTTAAGAAGATCAATATTTGAAGCCATTAGGGTATTTGTCATTTGTGGGCCTCGATGACCACTAGAGGGTTCTTGAAATTGGATTCTCTCAGAAAGTTATCAGATTGTATTAATCAAAACGATAGTAAGATTAAGAAATCTAAAGTGATTAGAGGTTTTTGGGAAAGCCTGTAAAGTCAAATCTTGCATGGTCCAAAGAGGTCCAGTGGCATAGGCTGTATAATATCTGAAGCTTTTTAAGCCTTTGGATTGATTAGATTGCTGGGGTTAGAGACCTCGAGTATGGGCTCAAATTTGAGGTGTAACTCTATGATACATGTGGTCTTAACTACTTTGCAAGGGGTAGAGTCTGAAATCATGAGGTCATTTGACGTGTGTTTCAAAGTATTTGTGAAAATTCAAGATGGATAGAAAGGTCCTAGTGACAGGCCTTTAAGACTTAAGTGATATGGAGTTATGAATTTGATTTGAATTGAGATATTAAGTTGAAAGATTCAAATTGTAAGATGCCAGAATCATTAATAATCATGTTGGTGTGGCAGTTAAATGAATGTGATAGGGTTCAAGCTAGATCGAAGTGGTAGGATTCAAAGTCAAGGATTGAGTTTGAATTTCTGCAGTGATTGGGTCAATAGTTGATGTGTGTCGAAGCTTGTGAATTAATTTGAGTGTGAATTGGTGAAATTTTGAGATTTGAATTAATCAAAGAGTAGGACTTGATTGAGAGTTAGAGTGATCAAAGGTATTTGAGGATTAATTTGAGGTAAAGATGGATCAAAGGGATGTGGTGATTAGATTTGTGTAGTCTGGTCATTGGACCT